ACTGGCTGGGGTGGTGAGTTGGGGGGAAGGCTGTGCTCAGCCCAACCGAGTTGGCGTCTATACATCAGTACCTTTCTACCTAGATTGGATCCAAAACAATATAAATACAAATAGTGGACTTTCAAACTTCCCCAGGGTGACTCTACTTTTGCTGATTTTTGTACCAACCCTCCTATAAAATACGCACCCTCAATCACTCCAGATATTAAATCTGTACCAGCAACACTATGAATTTGTACTTTTCTTGTGATACATTTTCAGCAAGCTGTTGACTAAGTGATTGATCTTGTCAGATTCTTTTGGGGATACAAGATTTATATATCATGAAGTAGTTGCTTAAGTTCCACTACAGACTGCAGAAAAGCAGTGTTTCATCTGTACCAGTGAGAGTCAAGTACTAAGAAATACTGACCAATTTGGTAGGGAAAAGAGAGGGAAATTGTATTGAGAACAGAAAATCCCACTTATCAAATAAGATCTAAGACAATAAGGCATATTCTGCCATCTGGTGGTGAAATATATATATGTAACCACTTTTTCGTGCGGCTGCTGATAAAAACAGGATTGCCAACATGATCACCAATGTCCGATAACGGATATAGCACAAGAAGAAGAACCACTTGTTACTGTATGTTTTTGTTGCACTGTAGCACTTCTAAGTCTGGATTTTAAAATTGTTTAAAACATTTGCACCTTATCTAGCTTTCATGGATTCTAGGCGGCCTAATGTACTTTTCCATTATTAATATTAAGTTGGCCCATACAAGCCATTGGTGCCGGATGTAGCTTGAGTTTTGCTTACCACCAGATGTGAATGCAAACGATTGTATTTTGTACACAGTGTTTATGGTACTTTTCATTATCAATATCAACTGGGGCCACACAACCTATTGGTGCATGATGTAGTTTGGGCTTTGCCTAGCACATGATGTGAATCCAAACAATTATGTTCTGTACAAAATGCTTATGGTTTAGTAGAGACTGCTGAACTGACCACTGTCCGTGGAGCTGAAGATAATGGCAAATATCCAAGTATCTCTATTGATATTCTACTTCAGTTAAGTTTATCAATATTGGGTAGTATGAACTGTACCACATTTCACAGTGGGAAGATGAAAGTGTTTCTATATTGGGAAAACATTCCTGTTAGAAAAAAAAGAACTTTCTAGTCCTTTCATCAGCATGCTAAGCTACTCAGAAAATGAGGAAACAGAAGTTTTGAATCTCTACAATCTTAATGTGAGCAATTTAATGCAACAACTGTGAAAAGAACTGTGGGCCAAACAGGAAGAAAACTATCTACCAGACTGCATGAACCCTCTCCTTGGCTATCAAAACAACCCACTATCCCTCATGTCCATCCACGAAGACTCAGAAGGACACAAGTTTGATCTAACCGAGACCACAGTTGTAACCTAAGCAAAATCAAGGAGAGAAAGAGAATTCCTTGAAGCCTGGTTCTCTACCAATAAGTCAATAAACAGACACATTGACATCAACCCAATCTACCAACCGCTGAGAACAAAATAATTACTTTAACTGCAATCCCAAAGGCAGATTTAAAACAAACAGGCACCCCACTGCACAGCAAAAATCACAACCCTTCCCCCCACAAGAAACCAGACCACGTTTGGGTCAGGGTACAGAAAGATTTGAAGAATTGGGAGAAGCTACAGTTATCTCTTATGGGAAGAACTGCAGTGATTAAAATGAATGTCCTCCCAAAATTTCTCTTTTTATTTCAAATGCTACCTATTTTAAAGAATGAGATTAATTTAAATGAATGGCAGAAAGGCATTAACAAATTTATTTGGGCAGGGAAAAAACCAAGGGTAAAGCTTAAAATTATGCAAGACTTCCGTGAGAGAGGTGGACTCAAGGTACCGAATTTGAAATTATATTATGATGCTGTGGCTTTAACACTAATTAGTGATTGGGTTAATTTAACAAATGTAGAAATACTCCATCTGGAGGGTTGGGATTTACTTTTTGGATGGCATGCCTATCTAATTTTTAATAAAAAAGTGGACCGGGTTTTTAAATCTCATATTATAAGGATTTCTCTACTTCGGGTTTGGAGGAAATATTATAAAAGTGATTTTAAAATACCATTATGGGCTATACCCGGGCATGCGATAGAGGGGATAAGGAGAGGAGTTAAGATGGATAGGGTTTCTTATACACAATTACTTAGATGGGATGGTCAAAATTGGCAGTTAAAATCTTTGGAAGATTTAGTACATGAAAATATAACCTATTCATGGTTTCAGTACAGACAAATAGTGGATAGATGGAAGATGGATCGTAACATGGGCTTGCTCAGAGAAGATGAAAATTTTGTTAAACAAGTAAAGGATCAAAGGCGAACTCATATTAAGAGAATTTATGGGGTTCTAGTGGAACTGGACTCAGAATCAGAATTAATCAAAGATTGTATGATTAAATGGGCACAAAATTTTGGTGAACCAGTTCTACTGGATACCTGGGAAACTATTTGGGTGAGGAATGTTAAATTTACACAAGCCCAGAATTTAAGGGAGAATTTTTATAAAATGTTTTATAGATGGCACCTTGATCCAAAAAAAATGTCTCTTATGTATCCCGACTTACAGCCTAAATGTTGGAGATGTGGTTGTTTGGATGCCACTTATTATCATATTTGGTGGTCGTGTAAAAATATAAAAGCCTTTTGGATTAAGATATGGTGGAATATTCAAATAATTTTTAGAAAGAGGGTAAAATTCACTCCACAATTATTTTTGTTAGGTATTGTTACTGATTGTGATGCTAAGGAGGTTATATTGATGTTAAATTTGATTACAGCCGCAAGGCTGTTAGTAGGGCAATACTGGAAGAAGGAATCTTTGCCTACCTTGGTTTTTTAAAGTTTCTTATCTGGCGGAAATGGCAAAGATTTCGGCTTTCTTAAAGGAGCAATCGCAAGAGAAATTTTTTGATGTATGGGAAAAATGGATAAATTTCATACAATATAAATTGGATATAAAAAATATCATTTAGCTTTTCAATAATTTGTATATAAATTTTGATATTTTATAGATTGTACTTTTTTTCTATCTCTTTTCTTCTTTCTCTTTTCTTTTTTTTATTATTATTTTTTTTTCTTTGAACTACTTTTTTTTAATATATACTCATGCTTTTTTATATATATTTTATTGTTAATCATTTTATAAGTTGTTTATGTAAGCTATTTAGATATACTCATGATCTATATTTTTTCAATTTCTTTAAGATTCTTAAAAAATTTAATTAAGCCTATATTCAGCTTTGGGAAGGTCGGGGGGGATGGAGGGGGTGGTTTGGGGGGGTGGGTGAGGGTTGTTTTGTTTTTTGTTGTTGTGTTTTCTGTTTTTTGTAAAAACATTTAAAAATTTCCAATTAAAAAAAAAAAAAGAAACCAGACCATGTTTTGACAACAACAGTCATCCATCCAAACAACCCAAAACCAGACCATGACTCAAAGGCAACCAAACGAACAAATACCATTTGCATCACACAGACAATACAAGGACTATGACCAGCAGCAACAACCAGCCAATCAAACAACCCAAAACCAGACCATGACTCAAAGGCAACCAAACGAACAAATACCATTTGCATCACACAGACAATACAAGGACTATGACCAGCAGCAACAACCAGCCAATCAAACAGCCCGAAACCAGACCATGACTCAGCAACATCCGGACAAATAATATCCACACCAATTTACATCACACAAAAAGGTATTTAAAGGCCACGGCTCTGACAAACGAGCACAATTTAAAGCGCACTGAAGATGTCCCCCCGAATGGAGACAAAACATTTGCAGCCAAATTGCCAAGCTCAGAGATCAAACCAACAACCAATCCGAGCTACTAATATTCAAACACATCTCAAACAATCTTAACTGACAACGTCCAATTTACATTATGGCTTGGTAGTCAAAAAAATTAGTGCATTATAACTACAGGGTGGAAATGTACTAGATACACAATGCAGCTTTTTCTTCCGCAAAAAAAATCTTAGGATGATTCAGATTTAGCAGTCTACCCCAATATGGCATAATGTGAGGGTCTCTCAAACTGTGAAGCATGCCTCCCTTGTGTAATTTAGCTAGGGTTCAAGGGAAGCGTTAAGAGCCTTTTAACTACATATTTGCAATAAGCCCACCTAGTTAAAAGTATTTTCATTGTTCTTTTGGGTTCGTTTTGGTGTTTGGATTTTTGGGACAGGGATGTACATGAGAATTACATTAAAGGGAGATGTGATAACAAAAGGTTTAATAAGCCCTATTTTAGGTGTACAGGAATACAACTCCCATTTTTTTACACATTTCTTAATAATTCAATGATTTGTAATATAGCACAACTAGGGAAATGATGGGGATAAGTGGTTTAATTTTCTCACACTTGAATCAAGGTGGCATGCTGCTGCAAAGCACTGAGAGGGCCAAAATCTTGGTTATGCAGCCCAGGGCCAAGAAACTCCAGGTTGCATAATGGGGGTCTTTATAGACACCACAAATTCCCTTCTCAAGATGGCAGCCACCTTCCCACGTAGTTACGTATAAGGAGACTTGAACTTGACTTTTGAACCAATTTTAGCTCGGAGGGACGTAAAACGGAAATTACCTCCCATTTTATGAGGAAAGGAATTCTCGCTAAGATTCAGTGTTAAGAACATACAAAAAAGATTAAAGGCCTCCCCAAAAACACAAGCCCTGGCATAAAAAAAAACCCCCAACCCGAAGACAACTTTAATTTCCGCATTCAAACGGAAGCGACCATAAAAAGCAGCCGAGTCACGAAAGAAAGCACTTGAAAGGTGGCGCTGCTTTAAACCGCGATGACCTTCCCAAACTGGCAAGACTTCAAAATGCCTTTCCCAAGATGGCAGCGAACGCTTCCGTGTCGTTGCGCCATGTTTTCTTCCGGTGGTTCCTTCCGCGAGTTACTTCTATCGGCCCGTCTATGGTTTTTTTTTTTTCCGACCGAAAGCCGTAAGGCGAGTCTCGAATGGGGCGCATGCGCCACGGTGCTCTTTTCTTCCTTCCCCCCCTAAACCGGGTTGGGTTATACCGAGATTGCAGTGCATGTTGGGAAACCGGGGGTTTTGCTGCTTTTTCCTCTCTGGGGGGTCTGGGCCGAGGCTGCATCTGCAGAGATGGTGAGTCGGGGGGGGGGGCAGCCGCCTGTGGGAGCGGGGTCGGGCCTGATGTAGTAGCAGTGGGAAGGCAAGAGCGACCGCGACCCTCCTGGAATCACCGTTCTCGCTCCTTTCCCTTTCTTTCTCCTCCCCCCCGCCCTTCCATGGGATGCTCCTCGCTCCCCCCCCCCCTTTCTCATTTCTTCCCTGGCTCCGTTTTGTGCGGACGCGGTCCGGATCTCTTTCCCGACGCCCCAAAAGAGGCGGCTTTCGTGGTGGTTAGCTTCCTTCGGTCTTTCTCCTCCCATCCCCACCCCCGACGGTTTAATCGGGTTTTCCTCTGGTTCTGCCTCGGCCATCCAGTCCGCTCTATCGTCCCAACAGCCCTGCCAGGTAGGCTCCGAGTAGTAGGGTTGCGGGGCAGAAGCAGCCCGGAAGTTTTACGCGATAAGGAAGGCGAGGTCTACCCCGGTGCTGTTGGTGAAGCTGGGCTGTCTTGATGCCTCTCCTCGCCCCATCTTGGGACTTCCAAGACGCTGCCTCGTTATTCCTTTGCAGTCGTTTGTTATTCCTCGCAACTCGTCTGTTTGTTCGTTTGATAAAGCGTTGGTTGGTGGCTTTTTCAAAGGCACACAGAACAGACTTTGGTTAGAAAGAGGATAAGTTTTAGCTTGGACGGCTTGATCTCCAAGGAAGTTAAGAGAGGCTTCTGAATGCTTTTGCATCCAGGCTGCTTTGAGCAAAAGGAAAGGTATAGAAAAAATATGTGTTTCAATGTGCAAAAAACTCCGAGTAAAAGTACTCAGTATACCAAACTACCTAATAAACCAAATTGGCTCTTACAGTGTTGGAAACTTAACTCTAAACTTCTAGGTACTTTTACTCTCAAGGGCACAGTACAAAAAGGCTACATGAAACTGGAAGCCACCACCTCCTAATAATTGAGCCTAGTCAGTTTTCTAGTTTTTGACTTTTACCCTATATTCTTCCTTTAAGATGCTCTCCAGAAGCTTTGGACTTCAACTCCCATCACCCCTTGGTGAGCTGGCCCTCTGGCATTGGGGGAAGTGTTAACAAAAATATGTAAAAAGACAAGTGGATTGGATTGTGTCTTGTGAAAGAAGCACCATTACTGTTTATCTAAACTTTTTAAAAGGATGTATACAAGAAGGAAAAAAAAATATGATATGAGGGTAACTTGCAGTAATCTAAATTTAATGAATTAATTGGAGTTGGAATTTTATTGGTCTGAAAGTAAACTTTAAAGCAGAGGTTCCCAACCTTTTGGGCAACAGGGACCAGTTCCGCAGAGAAAGGTTTTTCCACCGACTGGAGAGTGCATGGTTTTGTGTGCTGCCTGCATCCCACGGATGGGGCTTTGCTTGTTTGTGCGGCCCGACTGCTGGCATGCCATGGACCCGTACTGGTCCATAGACTGGGGGTTGGGGACCCCTGCTTTAAAGTACATATACTAAGAGGAAGTTTTAAAAAAGAGGTATTCGAATGTTTTAATTTTAGAAATGTTTTTAGAAGAAAAGCTTGGTTTTTTTAAAAAATGGATGAAAAAAATATTTTTCCCTTTAAGATTAAAGAATCTGAAAGAATACAGGGAATTTTGTTAATATAAATGGTGATAGCTTATAAAGAGTATTAAGTGCAAAACATTATTTCAATAGCCAGAAAGAGAAAACAGTAATGGTTGAATTTATTGTTCTATTCAAAGAGGAGAATATGTTTTTTATTTGGATATCACTTCTGGATTTTGTGCTTCTGATGGTTTTGGTTTTGCCAATTGGATAGATTTGGTGTTATAGAAATGGCTACGGTAGTTATATACTAATGTGTAAAAGTAAAAAGTTGAGGTTGTAATGTTGTTATCTTGTACTGTGCTAAAAAGAGTCATAAGTCAACACCTTTTTCTTCCCTCAATTTTCCCCCCCTTTTTTCTTCAATTTCCTATTTTTATTTTTATTTGTATTTTATACATTGATAAAATAATGAAAGTTATATAAGAAACTGGGTGACCTTGGGCTGATTACTCTTTCAGCCCTAGAAAAGGCAATAGCATATAGGTATTTATCCAAGCAGTTTCTAAGAATCAGACACAATTGAACAGAAATAAAAATAGACATATATTAAGACTGAAAGTGTAAGAGACTCACTTAAAGTTACCCATGAATATCCTGTCTGAGGAGGAATTTGAGCTTGGGCTCTGTTATGGCCTACTAGATACATAAACCCTAATGTCATGATTTTGGATATGATTTAATCTGTAGCCTGCCTTTCCTCACCATATTAATTTTCACCTTTATTATTTTTATAAATAACTCAAGACAGCTAATACTCTTTTATCTTCCTATTTTCTTCCAATAACAACTTGTGAGTTGTTACAGAGAAGAGCAACAAAGATGATTAGGGGACTGAAGGCTAACGCATAGAAGGAAAGGCTGCTGGAAATGGGTATGTCTAGTTTAATGAAGAGAAGGACGAGGGGGGACATGATAGCAGTGTTCTAATATCTCAGGGGCTGCCACAAAGAAGAAGGAGTCAAGCTATTTTCCAAGGTGCCTGAAGGCAGGACAAGAAGCAATGGATGGAAACTAATCAAGGAGAGAAGCAACCTAGAACTAAGGAGAAACTTCCTGACACTTAGAACAATTAACCAGTGGAACAACCTGCCTCCAGAAGCAGTGAATGCTCCAACACTGGAAGTTTTTAAGAAGAGACTGGACAGCCATTTGTCTGAAATGGTATAGGGTTTCCTGCCTGAGCAGGGGGTTGGACTAGATGACCTCCAAGGTCCCCTCCAACTTTATTATTATTATTATTATAGTTGACTGAAAGCGACTGGCCCAAAGTCACCCATCTGGCCTTCATGCCTAAGGTAGTAGTAGAATTCATAGTTTCTAGACCAAAGTGGCTCTCTACATCACATCTCATCTCTATAGCCTACCTTTTTCCTCTTACAACAAATCTGTGAAGTAACAGGGATTGGGAGGTATTTACAAACCAGAATCAACTACACCGCTTTTCTGGCTTAGGCTGGATTGAATCTGCCTCTCTCCAGCTCAATGTCTGAACCTAAGGAGTGAATTGAAACTTGGTTTCTGTAAAATAGGGTGACTTAAACATTAGCTAAGGAAGCTTATCCTTTATGATGGAGAGAAGTTAAGTTGCCAGGTTTTTTGCATTCTAAATGGGCAAGTATCTAAACTAACTCTTGAGATTTTTACCTCAAGTAAAAGAATTTTGGATAACTTCTGAAATAGGACACAAACCCCATAAAATAATAGTTTGGGGAATCTTGCTAATGTGAGAATCAGAGTTGCTAATATGGGATTGCATTATATATGAGAACTGAACCATTGCTTTATCAGAGCTTTTCCCAAATTAGTGCTATCTAGATATACTGGACTACAATGCCTACCCATTCTGTTGTTATTCCTACTGGCCATGAACGATGGGAATTATCAGCCAAGACATATGAAGAGTACCAGGCTCAGGAAGCTTGAATTCTCTAAAAATCTATTTGGAAGATCTAGCACCTGTGATTCCTCTGCCAGGTGACTTTTATTAGATTCACAAATTGTAGTAAGCCAAGGTTTGTTTAACAAATGAATTAATTGGGTTTGCCCAGTATACTTACCAATTGAGATCTAATATGTTATATATTATCTTTGGTATCTATGGAGGGTCTGGTAGCATTCTATAGATTGGAGTGCCTTCTATAGATTTTAGCTGGTATGCCCAGCTGCATATCTACGTAGAGAGGAACAATTTTGCCATAGTCATTTGTGGTCCTGGGTTCTGTCTGGAGAAGACAGTTGTAATTCTCTGTATGTGGTTTAATAGACTACCTGCATCTATAAAAACTCACCTGAGTCTTAAAGAAGGCCATAAGAACTAGTCACATGGTTATTAGTTGGCAAGTATGAAAGATAGGATTGTAGTATATTGTGAAAATTGTTGTTCAATGGTGTCACCCTTGGGAATGCCTGAAGAAGGATTACCTTTATTACAATCTTAGCATTCTAAGGTGTTAAGCTGGTTGTAAATGATAGTGCTAATTTTAGTATACAATTGTTAATCACTGCTGTTTTATTTATAGCAAATCTCAATTGGCTGACCCCCAGAAGACCTCAGAAGCAACAACAAAAACTGAATTTAGGCCACTTTTTCAAACAGTGGACTTGTCTGTTGCTTGGCAAATCAATCTGAACAAAATACATATATTTTATGTTTATTACGTAAGTGTGGATGGAGCAAACACTTGGGAATAATTCCTCTAAATTGTTCTGTAAAACATAGGTTGTACTGTACTTTATATCTTATACTTTGGAGAATAATTGTCAGTCCTACATACCAAGTTGTAGTTTTCCCATGGAACCTTGTATAAAACAATGTCATTATCATTATTGATAGTGATGGCTTGTTTGGATAAAACTAAGAATGCTACAGATCATCTTTTGCCCAACAGGATGTCTTTCTAATGATCCGACGTCACAAGACAACTATCTTCACAGACGCCAAGGAGTCCAGTACAGTGTATGAGCTGAAAAGAATTGTGGAGGGGATTCTTAAGAGGCCTCCAGAAGAACAGAGATTATACAAGGTAGGAAGAGTTTATGATAGAAAGTACTGTACTTTGGGACTTTTCTAATAAATTACAGCATTACACCAGGGCCCGCTGTTTACTAAATTAGTATATCAGTGCTCTCTTTGATCATTTATTATTAGTCTAACCAAACTGCTGCTCTTAGGAGAAACTCTCATCTGAGATCTTACCCTGTTATCTTTCCAGAAGGCTATGAACACCTGACTCTTCCCCTAAGCATTGGGTTAGAATAGCAGTTGAGCTGTAAGGATAATAGGTTGGTACATGGGGGAAGAATATTTTTGTTTTTAACTTTTTTTTTAATAGATTGTTATGAGGTGCTTGACATTGTCATATGAAACAGGTGACCATATATATCCTGTAAATACTTGGTCTGCAGCACCCAGAAATCCCAATCACTCTTAATTGCATTTTTTAGCCTATAGAATTTCTAGGAGATCTGCCTTTTTTTTTCCACTGCTTGGTTTGAACCAAATTATAAGGAACAAATCAGTCATTAGCTGATTCTGATGGTCTTTTGGAGTCCTACTTTTCAGGGGAAGAAGATAGCCCTTAGGCTTCTGGATTTTGCTAGTCCTTATCTCTGTACTGAGTAGTTTGGGAAGTACATCTAGGGCAGGCATGTCAAACTTGCGACATCACGTGACATCACACAACATATCATGACTTTCCCCATTGCTGGCAATGGGGTGGGCACAGTTTCAGCACGATTCATCCGGCCCGCGGGCCAGCAGTTTGACATGCCTGATCTAGGGCCATGGCCTGCAGCTCTATGTAGTATGTTTTAATGTTGGAAGTAGCCCTCTCTGATCTTCATATGTTGCTTAAAAATCCTATACAACAGACACCTGGGTATCTCTTCAGTGGAATAAATTCATAACCAGCCATCAAACAATATCCATGTAAAACATCAAGCAATTAACAATCCACAGAGCTGTATCAGGTATACCAATACAATTGGTTCACCACACACCTAGTCCTTTGTCCCATCTAAGAAACTGTTTTTCAGCATGCCCTGGAAAATTAGGGATTAAAGAATCCTTAGAATTAGAGCTCTAACCTCATATTTCATTTTTTTTTAGTAAGATCAGAAATAGAATCAAGAAGTGAGATAGCAAATGGTTTCCAGTGCATTACTGGTTTGCAAGTAGAACAGTTTTAGTGGGGGGGGAAATACAGACTCCTTACTACAGGTATTCCTCGACTTACAACCACAATTGAGCCCAAAATGTCTGTTGTTAAGCGAGACATTTGTTAAGTGAGTTTTGCCCCATTTTACAACCTTTCTTGCCACAATTGTTAAGTGAATCACTGCAGTTGATAAGTTAGTAACCCGGTTGTTAAGTGAATCTGGCTTCCCCATTGATTTTGTCAAAAGGTTGCAAAAGGTGATGTTGGGACATAGCAATGGTCATATAAGTTTGAACAAGTTGCCAAGCATCTGAATTTTGATCACTTAATCATAGGGATGCTACAGCGATCGTAACTGAAAAATGGTCATAAGTCACTTTTTTCTGTGCTGTTGTACCTTTGAATGGTCACTAAATTAACTTATAAGTCGAGAATTACCTGTATTCTATCCTTTACCCCCAACTCTATTGCAATTCAATGTGCATATCCTAAAGCAGGGCTTTTCAACGTTTTCACCCATTGTACCACTTTTCGGATAAGGCAATATCCAAGTACTACCAGTCACCCAGCAAGGTATCAAAAACTTGAACCCCCCCCCACAAAAAGAAAAAATGAGAAAGTACAGGTAGTCCTCGACTTACAACAATTCGCTAGTGACTGTTTGAAGTTACAAGCGAATTATGACCATTTTTCACACTTATGACTGTTGCAGCATCCCCAGGGTCTTGTGATTTACATTCGGGTGCTTGGCAACTGATTCATACTTATGACGTTCACAATATCCCAGGGTCATGTGATCAATGGTGGGGGGGCATGGCCAGCTGATCACTCAGGTTGTAGGGTGCCTGTGGGGGGGAATCCATGAGTCTCTGGTGGAGGGGGATGCGACTGGGGCAGGTGCCTGCCTTCCTTCCCTCCCTTCTCTCCCATTGTCCCTTCCTTCTTTCCTTTCCTTCATCTCCCTTTGTCACTTCCTCCTTCCCTCCCTCTCTCCCATTTCCCCTTCTTCCTTTCCTTCACCTTTGTCCCTTCCTTCTTTCCTTCCTTTCCTTCATCTCCCTTTGTCCCTTCCTCCTTCCCTCCCTCTTTCCCATTGTCCCTTCTTTCTTTCCTTCACCTCCCCCTTTGTCCCTTCCTCCTTCCCTCCCTCTTTCCCATTGTCCCTTCCTTCTTTTCTTCACCTCCCTCTTTGTCCCTTCCTCCTTCCCTCCCTCTCTCCCTGTCAAGCCCCTGCGGGCTCAATATGAACGGGTGGGGGAGGTGTCCAGGACAACATGCAGGGCGGCAAAGGAGACCAGCGGCCAGCGCCATTCTACCTGGCAGCGTGGATGCATCCCAACCAACAGCTGAGTGGCTCCTACTCTTAGCTGCCGAACAGCTGATGGGCGGGAGGCCGAGGCAGGGAGTCAAGGGCCGATGGAGTGGCTTGAAGCTGAAAGGCCGCCGAACAGCTGATGAATGCGAGGCCTGGAGCACAGCCGAAAAATGCTCATGGGACTGGAAGGCTGCAGCACTGCAGCTCCCATTGTCCCTTCCTTCCTCGTTCCTTCGTCCTATGCTACGCCACCCAGACCCAACCTGGTTTTGGCAGGCACAACACATCACGGCCCTGCCTGCCAAAGGCAGAGAAGAGCACACAGTCAGGGCGAGGATGTGGCCAGTTCACCTCCCGTTTTCAGGCATGTACATTACGAACTGGCTACTTCTCCCAGTCATTTTTCCCCTGAAGCAGAGAGTCGGAGAGCTGCATCGCTCTCGCCGTTTGGGCCCTCTACTTTTACACTCCGGGAGCAGCTTGCCTTTCAAACCTCCGATAATTAACGGAAGGGGAAACCCGCTGCAAAGGCGCATCTCCCAAAAAGATGGGGGGGGGAGAAAGGCGATCAGTCAGCCAAGAGCCCGGCTGTTTCAGATTTTAAGCCTGTGATACAGGCAACAGAGGCCCAAGCAAAGAAGGCGATCCAAGAAAAGGGAATAAAAACCTGCTTTCCTTTCCAGCAAACGTTACTTTTCCAAAACTTCCTTAAATGAAGAAGTGACTTTTTCCTGGCTTCTCCAGCCTTCCCGGGAAGGAAAAGATCAGCCCCGACCGGCTTTTGTTCCCCAAAGGCTATAGTCAATTGTTCGCTTGTCTGATTCAAGGGGCACACGGGCACCCCAAGACCCGCTCCAGGCCCCCACTAAGCCAGGATTCCCAGTTTGTAGAAAAGTTGAAGAGGGAGGGAGAAAGGCGATCAGTCAGCCAAGAGCCTGGCTGTTTCAGACTTTAAGCCTGCGATACAGACAACGGCGTGCCCTTCTCCCATCCCGGAAGGGTCTATCAGGCTAGCGCTTGTTGTGAAGTAAGGAGGGGAAGGGTGATACGGATCCTGCTGACCTGTGTGCACGAGAAGAAGTCAATCCGATTGCTGCACAATGAGTCCTTGGGGAGGGCGGGGCCTTGCTCTGCACCTGTGCTCTTTGCGCGCCCCCTGCAGGGCACGTTTGGTAGGGTTTGTGCAGGCTGCCACCAAGCAGCATGTTTTCCACAAACAAGTGAGCTGGGAAGGAGCAGAGCGGGGGGGGGGGGAGGAAAGTGACACGGGGGAGGAAGGTGACGCGGCGTACCACCAGTAGTACGTGTACCACTGGTGAAAAGCCCTGTCCTAAAGAACTTGCAGTATAGTTCCCTAATTTCCTGGTTTTAATTACTCATCTAAGTAGTAGTAGTTCCTGATTACCATATTTTTTTTTAAGAGACTTCTCTTGCATTCTGGTGCAAATTACCCCATTTTTTAGGATGATCAGCTGCTGGATGATAGCAAAACCCTTGGAGACTGCGGCTTCACCAGTCAGACAGCACGGCCACAGGCCCCAGCAACAGTCGGCTTGGCTTTCAGAGCCAGTGGTAAGTGAAGTTGTTGCATGCTTCTTGAAACCAAAGAAACACAACATTGTCATTGAAGATTCAAAGCCTACGACAATGAAGTGGTTTATACTGATAACTGAAGGGAATTGACCAAATTTGCCTTTGAAGGATATTCTGTGCCTGGGATGCTTTCTTTGAAAAGATCCACTTGCAATGGCATAATGCCACACCTAAGCCATGTAGAGCTTTTAGCACATGGCATTTTAGAGCCAAATCTGGTCCAGGAGTTCCCGATCATTGGCTAACTAATCATGCTGAAAATTGGCAACAACAGATGTCTATTATTTTGCACTGAGGCAAGAAATATACACAAACTATAGTAGAACCCTTGAAACAGGCTTAAGGTAGTTTTTATAATACAGCTAGTCCTCAATTTATGACCACAGGTGGGGCAGGGATTTCTGTCACTAAGTAATATGGTCATTAATGAGTCATACCTGAATGTATGACCTTTTTTGCCATAGTCATTAAGTGAATTGTTAAGTGAATCCAGTTTCCTCCAAAGACTTTGCTCATCAGAAACCTCCTACAAAGGTTGCAAATGGTGATCACATGACCCCGGGATGTTGCAACCATCATAAATTCATGCTGGTTGCCAAGCGCCCAGATTTTGATTATGTGAAGTCATGGATGCTACAATGGTTCTAAGGGTGAAGACTGAGCCTAAATCACTTTTTTCAGTGCTATTGTAACTTCAAACAGTTGTTAAACGAATAGTTGGAAGTTGACGACTACCTATGAAATCTTGTACTTTTCAGAAAGGGGGGGGAGAACGACCATCCCAGCCATTTTTACATAATTGCTTCATTAGCTGCACCCCTTTTACCCCTCGTATAAAAAAATACAGCTCCCAGTGGTCTAATCCTGTTCCAGAGACTTAAATTCTCAGAAATAGAGTAGACAACCCAGAATCCCTTAAGCACTAGAGTGTGATTTCCTCAAAGCAACAAGTTGATGAATTTTAACATATGTCTCCCTCACTGGATTGTAAGCTTCTCAGCTACAATAATGTGAATTATTGTAAAATGCTTTGTGCAAGGTTGTTTTTATAAAACATTTGGAATCTTCAGGTGGTCCAGAATCCAGCTGCTAACTGTAATCACGATTGATGATAGATTTTATTAAAACACCACCTCTGTGTGTGTGTGTCCCCTCCAAAACAATTGGATGAGATGGTTGTAACCTATAAAGCCATATTAAGTCATGATGGCCCCCATATTGTTAACCATGTGGGTATCCCTTTCAGGGAAAATTAATTTTATTTTGACAGGCCTTTAGTGAATAAATAGAATAATGTTTTGAACTCAAAATAGTTGTTAAAGAGTTTGAAATCAATTGTTTAGGTCAGTTTGAAAATTTATTTATTTATTTATATCTTGCCTTTATTATTTTTACAAATAACTCAAGGCAGCGAATATATTCCCTTAACTCTATTGCCTCTTAACTCTATTTCAAGTTTAAATTACTATTTTAAGCTCAAAATTGGTTATTGTGGACCACAGAACACTTCTGAATAGCTGGAACATTTCAAGCTGTTGAGCTTGAAATGGGTCGTTTCAAACTTGAAGTGTTTGAAATACAACGTATTTTGTACACTCTGACAAAGCACCATTAAAAGTAGAGCAGTATAAATACCCATTGAATTCATCCGCTTAATACTTAACATACCAAAGGCCTACATCATTTATTTGTTTTTATTCATAATTTTAGTTGCCTGGACTGTCGATTTTGGCAGAAAGATGGGCGTAAATATAGTGATTAAATAAATTTTATCTCAGATGGGAAACAAGCCACTGATTTTAAAAATCCTCATGTAGTTATAGAGAATGAAAGCAAATAGGGTTGCCTTTGGGATAACAACTATTTTTCCCCTAAGTTTGCAGGCAACCAAAAGAAAGGTATATTGATAATATTACTTACATCCAAGTATCATAGAATCATAGGGTTGACAGTGACCTTGGAGGTCTTCTAGTCCTATCTACTGCCCAAGGGAGGAACCTCAAACAATCTTGGACAAATGGTTGCCCAATCTTTTCTTAAAAACATCCAGTGACTCACGACTCCAAAAAGCAAGCTAGGCCACTGTTTAATAATTCTCATTGCCAGGAAATTCCTGCTTATTTGCAGGTTGGATCACTGCTTCTTCTACCCTCAAGTGCTATGGAGAAAGCACCTCTTCCCTGTGGCAACCCTTCAAATATTGGAATACTTCTCTCTGTTAAGCTTAATATAGCTTGTTCCTTTAGCCATTTTTCATAGAATTTAGCCTCCAGACCCCTTATCATCTTTGGTGCTCTTCTCTGCACACTTTCTAGGGCCCTAGCATCTTTTCTGCATTATGGTAACCAGAACTGGATGCAGTATTCCGAATGTGGCCTCATCAGTGTGAATGGTATAGAAATAAAATGGTTTATATGCTGCTTCTGAACCAGGTTTCTTTTATTGCACCAGTCCACAAGAGCCTTCACCTCTTCCCTATAAGCATCTTCATTGTCATCCCGGATAAGACCCACCACTGCTGTGTCGTCTGCATACAGTGATGGGAAAAATTATTTGATCTCCTGCTGCTTTTGTACATTTGCCCACTGACAAAGAAATGATCAGTCTATAATTTTAATGGTAGGTTTATGTTAACAGTGAGAGACAGAATAACAACAACAACAATCAGAAAAACGCATTTCAAAAAAGTTATAAATTGATTTGCATTTTAATGAGTGAAATAACTATTTGATCTGCTATCAATCAGCAAGATTTCTGGCTCCCAGGTGTCTTTTTATACAGTAACAAGTTGAGATTAGGAACACTCTCTTAAAAGGAGTGCTCCTAATCTCAGCTTGTTACCTGTATAAAAGACACCTGTCCACAAAAGCAATTAATCAGATTCCAAATTCTCCTCCATGGCCAAGACCAAAGAACTGTTCAAGGATGTCAGGGACCTACACAAGGCTGGAATGGGCTACAAGACAATCACCAAGCAGCTTGGTGAGAAGATGACAACAGTTGGTGCGATTATTCGCAGATGGAAGAAACACAAAATAACTGTCAACATCCCTCAGTCTGGGGCTCCATGCAAGATCTCACCTCATGGAGTTTCAATGATCATGAGAATGGTGAGGAATCAGCCTAGAACTACACGGGAGGATCTTGTCAATGATCTCAAGGCAGCTGGGACCATAGTCATCAAGAAAACAATTGGTAACACACTACGCCATGAAGGACTGAAATCCTGCAGTGCCCACAATGTCCCCCTGCTCAAGAAAGCACATGTACAGGCCTGTCTGAAGTTTGTCAATGAACATCTGAATGATTCAAAGAACTGGGTGAAAGTGTTGTAGTCAGATGACACCAAAATCGAGCTCTTTGGCATCAACTCAACTCACCGTGTTTGGAAGAGGAGGAATGCTGCCTATGACCCCAAGAACATCATCCCCACCATCAAACATTATGCTTTGGGGATGTTTTTCTGCTAAGGGGACAGGACAACTTCACCACATCAAAGGGACGATGAACGGGGCCATGTACCATCAAATCTTAGGTGAGAATCTCCTTCCCTCAGCCGGGGCATTGAAAATGGGTCATGGATGGGTATTCCAGCATGACAATGATCCAAAACACACGGCCACGGCAACAGAGGAGTGGCTCAAGAAGAAGCACATTAAGGTCCTTGAGTGGCCTAGCCAGTCTCCCGACCTTAATCCGATAGAGCAGTGGTTCTCAACCTTTTTAATGCTGCGACCCCCCAACCGGTCGTAAGTCAAGGACTACTCAACTGGTCGTAAGTCGAGGACTACGCAACTGATGCAGCACCGTTTGCAGAATGGGACTTTTGGCGGGCTCAGCAGGGCAGAGACAGCCTGGACAATTCCTATTGGCTTTTGAAAGCCAATAGAATTAGACTCTATTCAAGAGAGTCTATTCTATTGGCTTTCAAAAGCCAATAGAATAAAAGGGAGTAGCACAGCTAAGGAAAAGGGGAAAAAATGGCGGACTGCGTTGTATGGTGACCCCTGTGAAATGGTTGTTCGACCCCAAATGGGGTCCCGACCCACAGGTTGAGAACCACTGCGATAGAGGGAGCTGAAGGTTTGAGCTGCCAAACATCAGCCTCAAAACCTTAATGACTAGGAAAGGAGCTGCAAAGAGGAGTGGGACAAAATCCCTCTTGAGATGCGTGCAAACTTGGTGCCAAGTACAAGAAATGTCTGATCTCTGTGATTGCCAACAAGGGTTTTGCCACCAAGTACTAAGTCATGTTTTGTGAAGGGGTCAAATACTTATTTTACTCATTAAAATACAAATCAATTTATAATTTTTTTGAAATGCAGTTACTCTGCCTCTCACTGTTTATCATTAACATTATAGACTGATCATTTCTTTGTCAGTGAGCAAACGTACAAAATCAGCAGGGAATCAGATAATTTTTTCCCTGACTGTAGGTGTGAGCTGTTTATGTGCTCAACTAGTTTGCCATCGCTTTGGATTTCTCATGATCCTCATTTTTTATTTGGGATTTATAGTAGCCAATGATGTAGCATAAAATAGTACCGTTCCAAAATGATGGCTTCATGCATACCTTTCTCCTTCTTCAGAAGATGCCTTTGAGAACCTCCGCATCGATTCCTTTTCCAGCCCCCCAGAGCTCCCAGACGTGATGAAGCCCCAGGACTCTGGCAGCAGCGCTAATGAGCAAGCAGTGCAGTGAAGGATCAAGGCTACTGGAGTTTGCTGCACAACCCATGATATCCTTGAGCCCTCTTCCCCCAGCCTCATCTGACACGGAGAAAGATATGGCATCATCCCTTGTCTCTGACCCTGGTTTCCCGTTTAGCCCTCTTCCTCTAAGCAAGACTACATGTCGCCCTTCTAAACCCATCCTCACTCATCTGACAGAGCTGTTTTCACTTTGGTTTTGAAAATAATAAAAGGTCAGCTGTTTTTTTTCCCTTTTTGTCTTGCGTTGTATGCCTGTGCAATGAAATGGAAAGATGGCCCTGGGACAAAGAGGAGGCGATATCATGACAATTATTCTATAAACGTTTCTGCAATGATTATTCTGCTCATGTCTTTATGTCAAACTGTCTTTCCTGCTGTCTTAAACACAAAGACAGCTAACCTGTAGTTAAATACTCTGTCGACACCTTCTAAGGCAGGGGTGTCAAACTGCCGGCCCATGGGCCAGACGCATCACCAGAAACTGCGCCCACCCTATTGTCAGCAATGGAGAAAAAGCTCCGATACGTCACATGATGTTGTAAGTTTGATATATCTATTCTAGGGCAACCCCAAAGGTGTTTTTTTTTTCTTTCAAGAGGCAACTGGACTTCCTTTGTTTTTTCTTGAAAATGTTTCACTTCTCATCCAAGAAGTGAAAAAACATCTTCAAACAAAAACAATATCCAGTTGCCTCTTGAAAGGAAAAAAAAAAAAAGCACCTTTGGGACAACCATGACCTGGATGACTGAGAATCAGTCTTTTGAGGCAGCTTTCATCAACCTGTAACTTTTCATTGTGTTGGGATTCCATCATCTAATTTTTGTAGTCATATGAGAAAAAAACATCACTAGGAAATGTGAATTTCTTATTGCCTGTCAAGGTTAAGACAGACTCCTCATATCTTAGGTAACATTAGGCTCCTTGGAAACTGCTATATGTAATCACATGTCACTGCAACACTCATGCAATTAATGCTCTACTTCATGATAGGCAACCTGATGCCCTCTATGGCATCAGGACTTGGACTGCAAGTCTCACAATCCTTTGCCATTAGATGTGCTGGCTGAAGCTGATGGAGTTGATATTAAAATACTTAAGAGGGCATTCAATAGCCTACCCAAGCCTACTTTTTCACTGTAGTGTTGCTCACTTGCTCTTCTGACTTTTATGTTTTGCTAATTGTGCGATCTAGATTGCAAGCTGAGAGTTTAGTCTGTGACACCAAAGCTGATGACTCTAACCAAAAGGTGGCAATAGCAGCAATTTCTTGTAGTATCACTGTCTAGATGCAAGATAGGAGCTAGCTATTTTTTCTATATGATCTAAAGTGAAAGCATTAACCATTTTTATGGCCATGTCTCTGTCATTTTTAACTTTAGAAACCATCACCTAAAATTGCTTGGAGAAATCCAAGTTTCCTTTGACTGTGATATTTAGGTTCTTAAAAAAAGACAGCCAAACAAGGCCTATGTGAAATAATTTTAGATACTGATTAGTCTTTGAATAAAAGTACCCATATCCACGAGACAATGCAAAATAAATAGGTTTCAGATTTGAAACAGGAAAGAAATTGTGTTGTTTAAAATAACTATGAGTCATTAGCAGTCCTGCGTCACTGAAAAAAGCAGTGTCAAAAATGAAAAGGGAGGGTGAAGACTCAATGGGCTGGTTTATGTTCTCCTTAGGTTTCAGGCATCCTCCATTTAATTTTCGTAAGCAACAGGGCAGAATATATAAATGCAAGCAGCTTGGCCACAAGGGGGCACTAAATGTTTTTAAAAACCAGGTACTGTATAGTTGACAAAGCTAAGAGTGGAATAGAAGACTTAAAGGTCTCTACTTGCTTACTCTGTGATCTTATGCTAGCTCTCTGATCAAGCAAGCAACTCATTTAGCCCATTCCACAGCTTTGGTTAAAGATTAAATAGGATAATTTCAGGTATGCTGATTATCACATTTAAATTAAGGGCTAAGGACCAATGGGAAAAGATGAAATGTAATCTGGAATATGAAGGTTAAAATGTATTTTTTTTTAATGTTACCTAATTCTGTAAAGAGCTTGTGTTTCCTTTCCAAAGTGGGGAATACTAAAAGCATAGCTCAGAAAAAGTAATGCTTTATAAATCTACCATCTTTAGGGCACCATATGAGCTGAGAGGATTTGAAGGTTTTTTTAAAAAAACTGATTACCATTTTTACAAAGAGATCAGAGTAGCACATACGTTTCCTCTCCCTTCACAAAATCTCTACAGTGGCCATTTTAATTAAAACTACACTGAAAGCTATTTGCATCATCTCTGTGACCGCCAGGCTGTAGTGCTTGAACTCAGTATAACTAATAAACCAATTTTCCAAACTGATACTCATCCAGTGTGTTGGACTGCTATTCCTGAATCTCTTGACCTACCTAACAAGTAGTTCAATATCGGTGCAGGAACCAGCATGGTGGACATTGCAGCAACTGAACTGCTGTCTCCTGGCAACCATCTATTGAAACATAAAGACAATCTGATATTTTGTGAGAATTATAATGGGGTTACAGTTTTTCCTTGACCTGCTTACTAATCTCTCTTTACAGGTACTCAGCATATAAAAGTGATGAGAACTATAAAAGTGAAAGAGGACTGAACTTCTTCCTTAAATATGTTTTACTTTCTCTTCTGGAGATGTCTACCTATACCTATGTCTACTTATAAAGACTATTTTTCATATAGTTACCTATAGCGCAAAATTATTTTTATAATGCTGACTCCTGGTATCTCCAACATTTTCTATATTGGAGCTGACAATCTTTCACAGCATGCTGTCCAATGGAAGGCCATGTGATTTGCTTCAGGGATGGTTTACTTTTAAATGATATCCCCTAAAATGGGAAGCCATAATCTAATTGGACAACTACATTTTATTACCACGAGTTATGTCTATGTAATGAGACCTATGCTTAAGAATCTCAGCTATGTTGCCATAATTTGTATATATTTTTCTCCAAATAATAATTGAAATTGTTATGTAATTATTTCTTAGGACTTAGTTCACACATTACATTAAACAATGGTTTACTAAATGTCTATGGAGATTCTCAGTCATCCAAGTCATGGTTGTCCCAAAGGTGCTTTTTCAAGAGGCAACTGGACTTCCTTGTTTTTCTTTGAAGATGTTTCATTTCTCAGCTGAAGAAGCTTCTTGGATGAGAAGCGAAACGTCTTCAAAGAAAAACAAGAAAGTTTAGTGGCCTCGTGAAAAAGCATCTTTGGGACATGGTTTACTAAGTACACCACAACTTGCCTAGTATAAAAGCCAGCTATTGCCTCAAAGCCAACAAACCCGTGGCTTAAGCATATTGTATGAACTCAGCCTATGCCTACTTCCTTAGATGAAAACTTTATTTTGTCACATTTAGTCTAGAATTGAGTCAGGCAGCTGCTTTATGTAGATTATTCTCTGCAGAATTGTATTTGGAAAGCATGAGTTTGTTCTCAGTTCAAACTGCAACTGTTTTTTGACAGGCCATCTTACTTATTTAATGGTGAAGTTCCATTGCGAAGGTTATGATATTCTGAAGTCTGAGCCGTAAGAATTTCCACCAGTTATAAAAAGGGGGTTTTATTTGTATTTATTTATTTAAAACATTTATACAGCCACCTGTCATATTCCAAACTATGGGCAGCTCCCAAAATAATGAAGTTTCATCCTCTGTCATGTGCAACTAGCATCTGCCATTCCCCCACAACCTTGTCTGGAATTATCCATTTATGGTATTTTTGTGCAAATTACCATATAGTGTATGGAAAAATAAAACATGTTTTGCCAACCAGCACGCAAACTCTAGAACAGCCAACACTTCATAGTAGACGGGCTTGTCCAGCTAGATATTATATGGTCAAAAAAACCAGAATCTGTAAACAGTTGAAGTTGTATTTGTTTGATGCAGTGTAATTCCACTTACCACTGAAGTGGGACAGGAAGGAAACACACTGAGGACGAGCAAATATGGAAACTCTACCCCATAACTATAGAAGAGTGTTTCTGCATTTCAGCAGAAATTACTCATCTATTTACCTGTTCAGGTTTAGAAAGTGCTGGTTACTGCACCAGCACGGTTTTAAAAGATACTATTTTTTTTCATAGATCCATAAATATACATTTATGATATCCAGATCGACTGTGGGTGTTTGTTTAATGTATCCTATTACAAATGTCCATATATTCATAGGGCCTAACAAAGAGAGATGAAAGGCAAATTGATATAGACTCATGTTTTTATAAGTATTCACTCTGATTATCCTTTATCTTGACAGCTGTCCTTTCTCTTTTAATAAGGACAAGGTCTCACCTGCCATTGGGGCTTTATTCAGTGCAAAATGATAACAGAAGATGATGGCATCTAGCATCTGTGGTGTTAAAAGGAGAATGTGGGTAGATCCTTTATAAGTTCTTTAAGAACAGGATCACACAGTGTTGTGTCTCCCTGCCCAAAAACTTTGACTTTTTTTTTTTTTTGCTGCTCCAATTTCACCAGGCTAGGAATCCTCAATATAAACTGCCATAACTGATGGAAGCTGTCAGTTACATTTTTAGGATGATAGAATAACACCACTCAACAATCAGTGCTATAAGTTGGAAGGGACTTTGGAGGTCATTTAGTCCAACCCCCTGCTCATGCTGGAAAGCAATACTATTTTTGATAAATGGCTGTCCAGTCTCTTCTTAAAAGCCTCCAGTGATGGGGCACCCACAGCTTCTGAAGGCAATTGCTCTGGCTGGTTGAGTGCTCTGACTGTTAGGAATTTTCTCCTTAGCTCTAGGTTGCTTCTCCCCTTGATTAGTTTCCATCCATTGCACAGATAGGAACAGTACCACTGTATCATTTTTGCCTCTTATCCATAGGGCCAGTCTATTAAGACATCACAGTCAGCAATATTGAAGATTTTTAACTGATCAAGGATCCACAAGGTCATCTTCACCCTTTCTCTCTCCTGATAGATCCTTGATCAGGAAAACCAAAGCAATGTTAATGAGAAGCCAAGCTACGAAAAAATATTGTTCTAAACCAAACTTCCAGGTCTTGAAAGCTTACAACTCTTATCACCCATGACAAGACACACTCCACTAATTGCAAATGATCACACTTCTATGAAAATCAGTGCAAAGATCAAGGTGTTCTTCCAAGTTGTAGTTTTATGAATTCATAGCGCTTCAGTTAAGATTCTGGATAACACTCCTACCAAGAA